GAATTAGGGGGGCATGCTTGATGACTGCTTTCTTATTCAAAATTAGTCCCAACAACATTAATCAGCTTTAGTTCCAATTAAACATGAGTTTACAATTATTGCTCTGATGAGTTTCCAGCAACATGCTTAGCCGCAGCCGTTGGATTTGAGCTTCAAATGTTCTGAGTGAATGCAAGCATTCCAGTGTGTTAAACCATGATTTTAAACATCTGCCTTAGCATGATCATGAACCCAGTTTTCTAAGCGAGCCAGCCCTTGAACCCAGAGTTGTAAACTGTATTTCACACTTACTATACCCCGAGAGCTTTATTTCATGCACACTCTCAAGAGCGGCGTGATTAGTCTAAGCCAAAGCATTGCTTCACCTCCCTGTTCGCTACACCCAGAGGATTTAAAGTATTTATTCTAACTAGAATTATTACGCTTAGCTGATTTTTTTCATGAACATATTTCTTCTCGACATTTGTTTACACCCCGTATCAACAGTGAGTTATTGCACTGTTAGAAATTATTTAAATATATTTGCAAAGTACAAGATTCAGCTTGTTAAACCAAATTGCTTTGAGCCAAGGGCAGAGCATTTTCAGTTAACCAAGTCACTGTGACGGTAATTCCTGGCAAAAAGTGAGGAGTGCAGCTTTATTCCTTCAAAGTTTATCTTAAGTACAGGCAGTCCTCCACTTATGAATAGAATTGAACAGAATAGAATCGAACAGAACAGAATAGAATCGAACAGAACAGAATAGAAAATATGGAATGGAGTGGAATGGAAGAATAGAATAGAATAGAATAGAATAGAATAGAATAGAATAGAATAACAGAGTTGGAAGGGACCTTGGAGGTCATCTAGTCCAACCCCCTGCTCAGGCAGGAAACCCTAAACCATTTTGGACAAATGGCTGTCCAGTCTCTTCTTAAAAACTTCCAGTGTTGGAGCATTCACCGCTTCTGGAGGCAGGTGGTTCCACTGGTGAATTGTTCTAACTGTCAGGAAGTTTTTCCTTAATTCCAGGTTGCTTCTCTCCTTGATTAGTTTCCATTGTTGCTTCTTGTCTTGCCTTCAGGCACTTTGGAGTATAGCTTGACTCCCTCTTCTTTGGGGCAGCCCCTCAGATACTGGAACGCTGCTATCATGTCCCCCCTCGTCCTTCTCTTCATTAAACTAGACAGACCCAATTCCAGCAACCGTCCCTTGTATGCTTTAGCCTCCAGTCCCCTAATCACCTTTGTTGCTCTTCTCTGCACTCTTTCTAAAGTCTCAGCATCTTTTTTACATCGCGGTGACCAAAACCGGATGCCGTATTCCAAGTGTGGACTTACCAAGACGTTATATAAAGTGGTATTAACACTTCATGTGATCTTGATTCTACCGTCTGTTAATGCAGCCTAGCACTGTGTTGGCTTTTTTGGCAACCGCATACCACAGTTACAATGAAGAATTGCTAAAGTAAGGTGGTCGTTAAATGAACCATAACCAATTTTATGTTTTTGCTGCCGCTGTTAAGCAAATCACTGCAGTTGTTAAGCAAGTCACATGGACGTTCAGCGAATCTGGCTTCCTCCATTGATTTGGCTTGCTGAGAAGGTTGTAAATGGTGATCACATGCCCTCGTTGTAAATACATGCCAAGTGCCCGAATTTTGATCATGTAACCATGGTTTGTTGCAATGGTTGTAAGTTTAGTAGTCTTTATTAATTCAGCTGCAGCATTTAGTAGCGAAGGTTCAAGTTTAATTTTTCTTGCCTCTTGAAGCAAATACCAAAATTTTGCTTTGAGCCTTGTATAACTGCATGCATGTAGTGCCTGTGTTGAATGGGAACCATATTTACATGCAAATAACATAGCTGAACCACCCCATATGGGGGAAAAAAATCCCTGTAACAATTTGTACACTTTATTCGGCCATCTGGAGATAAAATATTTTGGGAATCTCACAGATGCTCACATAGTCTGCATTTATGATATGGGAAGGGCGAAGAAAATATTTTAAGAAGGTTCCGTTTAAAGAACGTTTTGTATCCTTTCTCTCCTATCTGTAATTATAGTCTCAGTGCTTGTATCAATAATAGCCCTGAGTATTCTCTGCTCTTTCTGATCCATTGATTTAAAGTTCACACAGATGCAGAGTTGAAATATATTGACCCCCACAGGGGGTCACATTAGGAAAAGCCTTAATTTGGTTACTCAATTAAACAATGTTCTGGCTTTGCACAAAGCATTAAAATATTAACTTATGAAATAAGCAGGGTGTACCCACTAGGATAATTCAACCCTAGGAAAAGTAATGACGAACGTTAAAACTAAGTATGCTTAACATATTGTATAAATCCTGGTGGTAAGTGGGATCTGATCTAGCCATAGGTGAGCAAATCCAGTCTTTATGTAATTAAGGCAGGTCCTAGTTGGTGGTACCAGATAAAGAGATGTCTCGTGTTCCAGTTCTAGGTGAATTTCCAAGTTTCAACAGAAGAGAATATGTGTAAGCTCATGGTTCAACTGTGGGGTCCTGGATGCTCTCTGAGCTTGGTTGTTGGCTTGCAGACATAGCATTGCCTGACTAAGTAACATCCCTATCACTGATGACATTACCTAGTCAGGTAATGAAACATCTGCAAGAAAATTACCAAGCTCAGAGAGCACCAAGGACCCCTCAGTTCAACTGCAGGCTACAAACGTCGTCTTCTGTTGAAGTTGAACAGGGCAGTTCAAAGCACTAGAAGTTTGTTTCATGCTGTCTATACACAAAAATCTGATCTAACGGTCAAGCCAAATTGGTCCTAGATAAGAGTCAACAGAATTCACAAGGGCCTGGCCCTCGGTCTCTTGTGGGAACACACAGACTCCAAACTGCTGACGCCTTTGACCCTGCCCTCCAGCTGGTCATCTCTTACACCCACTATCTAAACTCTGGTTTTCTCACCGAGTGCTTATTAACTGAATTATTACCATTCCAGTCTGTTTTTCTCTAACAAACCGGCCACTGGCCTGAACTCAAGAGTGACCATCATTGGCAAGCTAGTTCTCAGAACATGAAGAAAAAGGGTAAGGCACATTGGGGGTGGGTGGGAAGAATCCTGACCCCTCTCAAAATGAATGCAGATGTTCATTGGCGGTTGAAACACCCCACTTACTCATCATTTCTATTCTTAATTTTATGGCTTCAGTAATTTCCCCAATTATTTAGAATATTGAAAATGTGCTGAGGAGGATCAGCTGCGCCTGTCTGCCCCCACTGGCCTGCTAACCCCTCTCCCCCCCCCCATAATTTAAATAGATATTCATTCAAATAAATAGTGGGCTACTTTAGAGGTCTTAGGCAGTAAATTGCAAAACTCAAAAATGGCCCATTTGAATTCCGTAAACAGTTTCACAGCTGGACGAAAGCTAAAAGAAACTTATCAACTTTCTTTTGTTTTGTGTTTTCGTTTCCCTTTAAGAAGCTTCAAGAAATCGCCAGCATAAATCCACTTTTAAAAGGGAGATTTTAAAAACAAAATGAACTTAAGGGATATAATTTTGCAGGTGGGTTACAAACACAAATGCTGCTCGGGGTCCAGATCGTCAGCTTGAAGGCCACAACCCTGAAGGACACAAAGGCACCTCAAATAAAGAGTAACACCATTGAAGAGTAATGCCATTAAATATCTATTCTTTGAATTTTAAACCCCCTCCTTTGCCTGATTTTGTGGCTTTTGGTATTTTTCCCAGTAGGGAAATGGGACTCCCTGCCACTGAGCACAAAGCAACAGTGTCTCCCAGTGACTAAAATGTCTTTGAAGCAACTTGGATATAGCAAAAAAAATCTGACAGCTTTCACTGGCTTTGCTTAACCAATTCTCACCGCCTACTATTTATCCTGCTTTTCTAAAAAGGGGTGGGGGGCACCATATGGCTTCAAAAGCCTCTGTGCGCTTCCCCCTCAATTCCACACAAGGTTAGTCAAGTACAACCAGTTGGGTTTGCATTTCTGCCCATATATGGATTATTGGTGGCTTCTGATTGCCATGGAAAAGGGAGCGAGAATAAGCAGCAAATGTTTTACAAAATAGCTCGGTTGCAAGCATTCGCTGAACGTTTTAAGCCTTTATTGGCTGTTCCAGATTCTCAAATGATAAGGTATATGCACCTTCTAACGTGCATATGAACAATGGCCAAAGGGCACTTTCTTTCTGTCCATCCACATTTCTGAGAGAAGAGCAGGCAGAGGTAGATGGGGGGTGGAGTTAAGCGCGTCATCAGTTTAGAATCCTTACGTTCCCACAAATGGTTCAAGTCCAACCTCTCATGAATCCCATTGACCCTTATCTGGCGCCAATTTAGTACTGAACTTTAGTTGACTAGATTCTTGGGTATAGGCTTGAGCAATAAATCTCCTACAACAGTGGTGGCGAACCTATGGAACATGTGCCAGAGGCGGCACTCGGAGCCCTCTTTGTGGGCACATGCACCGTCGTTCCATGGCCCCTCCTCACCAGCAGCCCCCCCCGGAAAAGAGTTGCCCCCGGGCGCAGGCCAAGCGAAGCAGCGCAGCCAAGGACATGGTAGCCGGGCAGCGGGGACAAGATTTCGCTCTTGTGCCCCATTGCACGCAGATGATGCTGCAGGGCGCAGGCGGAAGACGTGGCCACCATGGCGCTGCTGGGCTGCCTGGGTGATCTGTGGCGGGCCGTGGAGGTGGTGGGTGGCCCAGCAGGCAGGGCGGAGCAGGGACAGGGGTGGGGGGCAGTTTTTGGGCACTCGGTCTCTAAAAGGTTCGCCATCACTGTCCTACAACATTATGAGATTATATTTTTATCTGACAGAATATGAAAAATGTTGAAATGAATATTTGGTATTATTTGGTCGCTGAATAGCTTTCTTTTCCTAGGTTAAAAACAAAAATGAAGTAACGGTGACAGCGCTTATGTTAAATTATGAGATTTATTACAAACGACTTGCAATTAATTCTCTCTTTCCCTTTGTCTACTTTCCTGTTTATCTTCTTGTTGCCGTGTGGTGTCCTTTAGGTCCTGATCACTTTAGTTCCAAGAGTCTCGCTCTGCAAGCCCAGAAGAAGATTTTGAGCAAGATGGCAAGCAAGACGATGGCCAACATGCTGATTGACGACACCAGCAGCGAAATCTTCGACGAGCTGTACAAAGTGACCATCGAGCACATGAAAAGCAAGAAAGAAGCCCACAAAATTATGAAAGACTTGATCAAAGTCGCCATCAAGATTGGGATTCTCTACCGAAACAACCAATTCAATGCGGACGAGCTGGAGATCGTTGAGAAATTCCGCAAGAAGCTGAATCAGGCAGCCATGACATTGGTCAGTTTTTACGAAGTGGACTTCACCTTTGATAAGAATGTTCTTTCGGGACTGTTGAACGAGTGCAAGGATCTCGTCCACGAACTTGTAGAGCGGCACCTGACAGCCAGGTCTCACGCACGGATCAACCATGTCTTTGATCACTTTGCAGCCGTTGAATTCCTCACGTCTCTCTACAACCTGGATGGTGAAGGCCGCCCCCACCTCAAAAAGATTTGCGATGGGATCAACAAACTACTTGACGAGAAGATCCTCTGAAACTCAACTTTCCAAAACTTTTAAAGAACAGATCAAATTAAGAGAGGCAAAACAGAGTTGGGAAAGGAATATAAGAGCCTGCTTCTGTTTTATAACCCACCCACCCCCCAGACAAAATATCTTGGCAACAAACTACTTTTATTCTGGAACATGTGACTTTCTGTTTGTAATGAAAAGCCATCAGAAGTGAGATGTACTTCACCCTGCAAATAAAAAGAACATTTTCGCACAGAGAATGATATTTACAATGCAAAAGAAATTGTGCAAGGCTTTTTTTTCCCGTAATTGGAATTTAGCGCTGCAAAAATAAACCCGAAGATCCATTTCAGAGAGCAAGTAAAACGACCCACATTTTCATTGCAGAAAAAAACCTTAACATGGAAAAGCGAGCGCCAAGCTTTGTTTTAAAAGAAAAACCACACAATCCAAACTGAAAAATGAGGGGAAACTCTTTGATGCAAGAAACGGGGACAAAACTCAAGTTTCCTTTTAAAGGGTATAGTGTTTCCGCTGAAAATAATGGAAAAGTTGGCACGACTCTCTTAATGAAGGGTGATTAAGACTCCAAAGACTCTAAAAGAGGAGCTATTAAAAAAGGTTCATTCCGTAAAGTCCTCGCACATTGCTGCAGGTAGTACCAAAGTGAACAAAATTCGGTTCTAGAGCAGAGAAAGTTTGAAACGGACACTGGGCCAAGGAGGCCCTTTCAGAGATCTTATCGTGTTCAGCTGCAACAGGGGATGCTCTGAAATGGAGCAGAGGCTCCAGGTATGGTGGATCTCCCTGCAGCCTTCCATCATCCCATGTTTTCCATCAGAAGGATTGCTCATTTGGGAGAGTCGCCAGGGGAAGAACGGACAATTGATGAGCAGTAGACACTTTGGGTGGTATACAGGAGAATGAAAGGGAGACCAGAGAGAAGAGCAGCAGAAGGCATCTGCTGAAAGAAACGGGCCAAGCCAAACCACATCCATGCTATGCCAAAAATATACTTGGTAATGCCCATGTTATCCCGAGGAACCAACGCAAGGAATTCTTTTACCATCTCCTTGGAGATATATTTGCTTAAGTTTTCCTATTTTTTTTTTAAATGAACCTCCCCTCCTCCCAAAAAGTACATCATTCTGGTCTGATGGCTTATGTGATTCACAATTTCCGTTCAGGAAGTTGACACGACTGTATAGCAAAATGTTTAGTCAAGAGCTGATAGCAAATTATTTGAAAGAGCATCAAAAGAACGGTGGTCCCTTGTTAGAAATGTTACTCTCTAGGACGGGTAGGCAACCTTGGCTCTTTTATGACTCATGGACTTCAGTTCCCAGAATTCCTGAGTCAGCATGACTCACTCTCCCTTTCTCCCCAGCATAGCTGACTCAGGAATTCTGGGAGTTGAAGTCCACGAGTCATAAAAGAGCCAAGATTGCCTACCCCTGCTCTAGGACAACATACATGGGGATTTTTCAATCTTGTTGATGACTCCCAAATTAATCTATTAAAGCTCAGTGGGTCTGGCCTGCAAATAAGTACGTTTCTAGCAAAAGGAAATGCAGAGTATTTGCAGAGTAGCAATTGTGAGTTAAGCCTACAAGGCCGTGTCGTACAAACGAGAGGTTATACAGGTAGTCCTCAACTTAACGACCACAATTGGAGTCCAAATTTTCTTTTGTTAAGTGAGTTTTGCCCCATTTTACATCTTTTCTTGCCATAGTTGTTAAGTGAATCACTGCAATGGGTAAGTTACTAAACCCCGGTTGTTAAGTGAATCTGGCTTCCTCACTGACTTTGCTTGTCACAGGGTCACCAAAGGGGATCACAAGACACACACACACAGCAACCGTCATAAATACAAACCAGCTGCCAAGCATCTGAATTTCGATCACTGTGAAGAATGATCACAAGTCCCTTTTTTCAGTGCCGTTGTAACTTTGAACGGTCACTAAATGAACTGTCGTAAGTCGAGGACTACCTGCTTTCCCATTTCACCTGGTGAATACTGTTAATTGCACGACACCAGGTGTGAATATTGTGTAATTGCAGGAAATGCAATTTCGTGCAGTTACATTATTCATGACAGCGAATACTGTAATTGCATGATGACAGCAGCCCATTTAACTGCTTCATCTTACAGAAAGTGACTTAAACAGGAGTTAATCAGGTTGCCGTATCTGTTCTTGGTAAAACATGTTTTTGCATAATGCTGGCTTAATCCTTTGTGTCAATGTAGCCATTATACCCACATAGGACACAAGATAGCTTAAAGCACAATTTAATAACCAACCTCATTGAAAACTGAGTCTAATTCTGCCTTGTTTCAGACTAGTAAAGAGTTTGTCTTTATCAAATGGAAAGTTAGCATCATATTTTTTGAATGTACAAGCCTCTGGAAATTGCCCAGTTATCCATATCTATTAACTGTTGAGCCAAATGCTTTAAGTTACTCACTGTGGCCAGACCCATCCAATTATTTTCAGCCAGGCGGGCGTGTTACCTCTTGCACATATTGGTATTCCAACTTGGGACTATTTTTTTTAAGGAGTCAAATGTCTTGCCGTTTATATTTATATGAGACTTGAGTAGCCTTAAACATATGGAGGAGTATTTATGTAATTTCCCAGACTGGTTCTACACTGTATGTTCAATGTGTTTACTTTTATATTGGTGGGGTTACCATGTAAAACCATCGGTTCCACAACATCTATAGTGTTTTGAGTCAGACATAGTGTTTCCTTACCATAAATTATGCATTAAATGATTTGTGATGAAAGGATGTCTCTCCTCTGGGGTTCTGTTTGTGGTTGTTGTAACTTTAATCCCTCTCGTTCACATCTATCTTCTGCTGTTTGATGCCTTCCAGAAACAACGGGACTGTGACTGCTATGCGATTTCTGGTAGGGAGTCCTTATGGGTTTTACTCCACTAGTTGCATCCAACTTTAGAGGAGGGCTCATCTCCGTTTCCAAGCCTTTGAAGCAACACTGTCTGAAGATGTTTCCGCGGTCATATGGCCAAGCATGACATCATACCACAGCACAGAGTGTCCGGTGAAACATGGAGCACTGTTCCCTTCCCACTGAAGTGGTACCTATTTATCTACTTGTATGTACATGCTTTCGAATGGCAGGAGCTGAGGCAAGTGACGGGAGCTCACTCCATCACGCGCTGCTAGGACTCAAACCGCTGGAGCAGACTCAAACCGCTGGTATCTTTTAACCCTCTGAGTCACCAGGCCTCCAGGTGGTTTTTGGACATCTGGAGAAATTATGACCCTATTCGAATCATGGTTAGAATGATGTAGGATACAGCATTGCATTTTATCGAAGGACAAAGATCCTCACTCTGTCACACCTAGTCATTGGGAATGATATAACTAATAAGACTTTGATGCTTTGTTTTCCAAGCTGAGATATTTTGATTATTCCTTATGGCCCTCTTCAGTAGATACAGGCACTGCAAGTTTAGGCCAGTTGGGTAGCATATAATGCTCATTGCAGCATGCCTAGGTTTTGCATTACACAACAGTCCTTTGGTATTATAAATGGCCCAGTGACCGATGCACAACAATTGTTTGGTGCAGCAGGATAATTTATTACATTGCAATTGGTTTAAGTTACGTGGTAATAAGAACAGAAAGAAACCATTTCTGCAAACAGTTTGAAAATAAAAAGTAGATGGGGTACAATTAAGGAAAACCCAGTAAGTCCCACCAAGCTGTGTTAAGATCTAGATACTTGACAGAAGTAGGACAATAAGCATTTGGGGAAAAAATGGACAACAGGATCTGCAGTGTGCAGATGGATGAATCTTTGTTATAAAGAGATGGGTAGTGAGCTTCTCAGCCTCCAAATATGGCTCGGCTACAACTGCAAATAGTAGCGAAGAATGCTAAGAGTTGTAGCTGAGTAAGATCTGGAAGGCCAGAAGCTCCCCACTTAAGCCTCATTTGATGACAGTGGTTAAAAACTGCATAGACTTGAAATTATAGCTTTCCTAAACTGTTAGGATAAGTCCTATAATATACCATGAACTGTCATATAGAAATAATATTTCCAATGTATTTTTTCCAACCTCTTCTTATTTTTAATCTGTAAGGCATATAGTAAATACGATCGTACAACAGTCTCTGTAGATAATTTGATACAGGGGTCTCCCATCTTGCCAACTTTAAGACTTGTGGACTTCAACTCCCAGAATTCCCCAGCCAGCCAGAGTTGAAGACCACATGTCCTAAAGTTGCCAGGGTTAGAGAACTCTGATTTAATACATTTCTTTAGTGCATTGTCATTCCTGAAAAATCAGGAAGAAAAAAAACCAAAATTCAACCCCTTTTGTTAGTTAATTGCATTGTACTTTCTGAAGTAAGAAGATGGGCGAACTTTGAAAGAGCTGATGTTTTACAATCAGAACTGTGTGCCGTTCACAAAGGATGTCTCTATTTTCTCTCTTGATGCCTTGCAATCTACTTAGCAACGCAGCCTTCTTCTATCCACTAATTACACCTACATGTACATATCCGTCATTTTCAGAACAAGCTACCGGAACTAAGAAATGGTAAGAAGTTAATGGCATAAGACAGTGGTGGTGAACCTATGGCACGCGTGCCAGAGGCGGCACTCAGAGCCCTCTCTCTGGGCACGTGCGCCGTTGCCCCAGCCCTGCCTCCCCCTGCAGCCCCTTCCTCACCAGCAGCCCCCCTGCAGGAGAGTCACCCCCAGATGCGGCCCACGCGGAACAGCGCAGCCAAGGACATGGCAGCTGGGCAGCGGGGACAAGACTCCGCCCTCACACCCCATCACGTGCAGATGATGCTGCGGGGCATGGCCACCATGGTGCTGCTGGGCCACCTGGGCGATCTGCAGCAGGCCATGGAGGCAGTGGGTGGCCGCGGGGCAGGGACACTGTGGCGGGGGACGGGGGGTTTGGGCACTCGGTCTCTAAAAGGTTCGCCACCACTGGCATAAGTTAAGAGGGGGGGAAACCAAACCTATACACCTAGTGTTCCTCAAGTTTTGCAACTAGAAGATATAGGGTCTTCAAGTCAACATTGCTGGCTGGGGAATTATGGGAATTAAAGTGCAACCCATCTTAAAAGTTGGCCAGGTTGAGAAACACTGGGCTAAGGTATTGAAACACTGGCTGTGTTTCTATTTATCTTCCCCACTGATCAAGAAAGTTACTAAAAAGATACTATTAGATCAATACTTGGCTGCGTACACTTTAAAGACATCAGGCTAGAAACCAGGAGACTGTGAGTTCTAGTCCTGCTTTATGCATGAAAGTCAGCTGGGTGAGGGTGAGTCAGAGGGTGAGTTCTAGTCCCGCCTTAGCCAACTGGGTGACTTTGGGCCAGTCACTCTTTCTCTTGGCCCAACCCAACTCGCAGGGTTGTTCTTGTAGAGAAAACAGAAGGAGGAAGGAATATTAAATATGTTCGCCACCTTAAGTTATTTATTTATTAAAAAAAAATTCATTTACATTTTCACATGGCCAAAGGTAGTAGGACGATGAGGAGGGAACAGCTCACCAAGTCAAAAGATCTGGAAGTTCGCGCAGAAATTGTAGAAACTCTGTATTGCACACCTAGAATCACACCGCCCATCTCAAGCTGTCTTTGCAAAAGGTACTTCCTTGATCTCTCTCTCTCTCACACACACACACACACATACACACAAAAAAAACCTAGTCATCCTACTATATATCCATATGATCAAAACACTGAAGACAGACCGCCCAATTCCGATGTCTCTGTTGAGGTACAGTCAACGGTGACTGGTGCCAAGCCAAGAGCTTTTCACCGTGCCATGACCCAGCCATGATGCATTGATGAACTGAGGGTTATCCCTGCATTTTCGTGATCCGCAGGTTGTTTCTTGTAAGTGCTTAAGAAGCCACTTCAAGCGCTTCAGAAAAGTAAACAGAAGTTAAGACCCTTCTCTGCACTAGGGAGCGTAGTGATTGAGTAATTCAAGTAACTGATCCTACTACTAGTCCCCTGTGAGTTATACAAATACATTAATAGAAAATACGTGCCTTGCATAACATGTCTCGTTCAGCTACCCGTACCTTATTGCCTTGTCAACGTCAGGCTGATCGTGATGGGTTTTCTCCTCCCACTGGAAGGAGTGCCACGCTAATGCCAAGGCACATCTCCACTCCATGTAGAACAGAAGTTGGGTGTGGTAAACCCCTAGGCACAACCACACCCTTCCTTCCTATCAGTCCAAAAAGGAGACCGTGTGGTTTTCAGGATTCTTCCATCACCTTCTGACATTGATAAAGTAAACAGTCTGGTAGAGCAGAGCAAGGTGATCTGAACCACAAGGCTAATTTTCCAGCATGGAGCCGGCAGTGGAGAAGACACGGGGTTGATGGAAGCAGTCGACAAGTGGCTATTCCCTCATTTCCTAAAAGAGGCATTTGGAAAGTTCTTAATATCCAGGTCTCAGGCACAAAGGATCAGGACCGCACATGAAATTGCAGTTCAAAAGATTTATCCCTCAAGTCTATATACAAGAATCTAGGCAATTAAAATTTAGTATTAAATTGGCACTGGATAACAGTCAACAGAATTCGACAGGACTTGGACTTAAAACTGTTTGTGGCCACATAACAATTCTAAGCTGATGGTGTGCTTAACTCCACCCCATCTCTGCCCGCTCTTCTCCTACACCGTGTCCTTTTAAGGCACAACCACTGTGACACATGTGGGTTTATTATTCAAAGAGAAAATGTCACAGATTGTCTATGGGAATTTCCAACAACTTTCTGCCTCAAAGTGGGGGGGGGATTGTGCAATTTTTGTTTTGTTTTTTTTGGATCCTAGCTACAATATTACGCTAGTTGAGGCTGGTTAAAATACTCATTTCCCCAAATACCCTTTTCTTTTCTCTAATGTCTGAGGAAATAGCTGGTTCTGGTTCCTGTTCAACTGCCACTCCCTGGGATTTCAGTTTGGATGTAGAAAAGGGAGAGACACGCACAATTATTGAACATTTTCCCAACCCTGAGAATTTGGGGGAAGTGGAAAATAACTACAGACATCCTGCCGGTATCTCCATGTTCTTGAAACTCTGAAAGGCGATCCAAATTTCTGAGAAAAACCCAAATGGTTTCCAATTGCTTCAGAGAAGTAGCTTCACCTCAGTTAACAGCCAAGTCATTCCAATTTTGGGGAAATGTGGTTTAAGCTACTGGCACTAACCCAGAATTTCAGGATCGTATATGTCATGAATCTGAAACAATTTTAAGTTACGTACCTATGATATCAACAATATGTAGCTTCAATTTTTGCTGAAGGATGTCTAGCATCATGGACAGGGTACCTTGAGATGGTGCCACCATTAGATTTTGTTTGACTTCATTTGAAATGGAGAGCCACAGTTTTCCATATTCATCCGTGCTCATCTTCATTGGTCTGCCGATAGAAATGAAGAAAAAAAAATAAG